AGATCTCAAGATATGAACTTAAGAAAAATTCTGCCGTGTTCAAGAAAAGTATGACTTCTTATTTTGTATAACTTTTAATGATAGTTATTATTGGTCACATTATTTATTTGTATATATAATATTACAGAGTTTAGAGATAAGTTTTGGTCAAGTAAAAATATAAATGTACAATTAAGTTCAAGATAACTAACAAGTAACAAAAAAATATTACAAGCCATTTGGGTATTTAATATGATATGGCTAGCATTTATTATTATTGTTATTATTTCAAAAACGAAGTTAAACTAACCTTCATCTACATTAGTGATATTGGTAAAAATAATATACATTTTTTTTAAATATTCAAGTACCTATATTTTTGTGTAGCATTATACGTACAGACTAGATAGTAAATTAAGTTTATAATGTTTATGTGACATCCAATTAAAATAATAATGAGTTCCTTAATCTTTTCAAAAAATCTTATTAATTCTGTATCAAAAAACAATATGTTTAACCGGTTAGGTTACATTATTGATTCTAAGAAGTGCAATTTTGAGATAGTAAAATTTAAATTCAATTTTTTTTTTCGGTTTATTTTGATAAAAAATATTAATATTTATATATCGAACACTTTGAAAATTTGAAAGAAGGTTCCTCAATTCTTGATAATTTTTTATTATTGCATTTATATATCAAAAATACACGAACACAATTTTTTTTTAGTATTTAAGTTTAAATTTCGACAAAATTGAAAGTTTATTTAAGAAATTACGATTTTATTTCATTAAGAATTTTAGTTTTTTGGTTGTAATTAAAAAAAACATTAGTATTAATGTGACATAAAACTTTTGCCATCATATATACATATAATTATGTATTAATATGTTTACACAATAACATTTTAAAAATATTTGAATTTATTTTAAACTTATCCACCACGTACTTATGTAATTATTATGTCAATAAACTGTAGACTTATTAAGTCCATAACAATAATACATGAGAAAAATTTTCTCATTTTTTTATATTTAATATAATAATAATTATTATATGTTTTAAAATTCAATATTTGTTATTATTTGGGTTCGGATTTAAAAACAGTATAAACAATAAAAAAACATTTAAAATGTGGGAAAAGGCAGAAAACATTTATTGAAAATAATCTTAAATTTACTCTTAGATAATACTTTTTAATCTATAAGTAGTTTGATAAACTCTAAATTAACTTTATCGAGTACTTTTTAGATATGTTCAACAATAATAATAAAACATAAACATAATGCGTTATCTTTGCAAGCTTTTATCGATTTATACCGTATATTTATTTTAAACTATTATGATCAATTAATAATAAAGCATAAAAAATAAAATTATTCATGGGAATTTATGGGTAAAAAAATGTAAAATAAAAAGTAAATATAATATTTACCTATATTAATTTAGAAATTGAATGAAATACATTTTTATGTACAGTAGAACCTTAACTATCTGAATGTCAATAAACTTCAACCGATGTATCCCAAAGTTCTATTATCCGAATGGATAAGCTAATACCTACGGTTGGTAAATCGATTTTATCATATTTGTCAAAATTTATCATTAGTACATTACATACATGTACATTATAGTACCTACATATATTATAATATATAACCTATAATAATATTTTATTTATAATTATGTAATATATGATAATAATTAATAATAGGTAAATATAACACGATACATTTTAAGTAAAAAATTACATACACAATTTTTAAAAAGTTCTAGTATCCGAACATTCACTTTCCAAATTCATTGCGATTCCATTTTAGTTCAGAATGTTCAGATAATCAAAGTTCTACCTTAAAGAATTATATTTTTATTATTATCAAAAAAAAAAAGAAAAGACATTTGCTTTCAAATTTGTACCTTAGTTATTAGGTACTTATTTGTTTTTGGAAAAAATGAATTAAACTTACCGTTAAATATAAAAATAAATTACTAATGAATTAATTAAATTATAATAATATTAAATTTATCAATAAATTATAAGATACTTTATAGAAATAGAGAAACCTAGCAGACATTTTCTGCAAAAGGTCGTTTTTCATGTGCTATAATTTTTCATTGAATTTAAATTTAACACATTCATTACAGCTTACAAGTGTCTACCATTAACTTTGAAAATATTCAAATTGTATTGGAAATTTTGCAAAAACTGAATTTCTGAAATTTGACATAACTAGTCTATAATTTTGAATGTTTTCCATAAAATCAATTAAATATATCTTATTATTAATAATGATAATAACGATAAACGTTTCATGTATATTGTATATACACGCAGTGTAACTGGTAACTGGTAGATATTGTTGTATTGCGTTTCGCGTATCAAATATAGAAATAAAAATATGCGATTTATGTTCGAATATATTACCAATGACTCACGAATTATTCATGTATACCTATATATTATTTACTCAATATAGTTATATGTATTTTTAGGTATGGTATACTAAGATTCAATTTTTTGTTATTTCTATTTGATTGTAAAAATTAAGAACAATACATCCCGTTATATGACCTTTTTTTTATTAAGTAGGTAAGAGCTAATTGTAATCAATGTAATTATTTGTGAGACATTTAATATTACTTGTAAATACACACGTATACGCACACACACACACACACACAGCCAAACACACGCGTTATACATTATTATTTACGAGACCCAACGCTTCAGGAATTCATAGTTTGTATTCATTAATTAATGTAAATAATACGCAAATGTTATATATATTTTATATTTATTTATACACGAGTATACATACATAATAAGCGTATCATAGTAAGTATAGGCAATTAATGGAGACAGTATTATTTAAGAATGAGGATCAATTCATATTACTATTACTATCGTACTAAGTATTAACATAATAGCATTATACTTATGTATCACTAGGTATGAATTAAAAAAATTATATTATAAGTACTGGCAGTTTTATATAGGCAAATACACATAACTAGAAAATTTCATTTTAATGTAATAAGCATTTTTGAATCCAAATTTTTTCTTTTCTTGTGATGGCACCATATCTAGCTAGTGAATAGAGATTATTTTACACTTAATCAACTGTGAAAATAAACTACCCATACGTATATATTACACAAATGTTGAATAATATTGCACTGTGATTGTAAAGAATATCTGAGAACTAAATTGCAATAAATCAAAATATAATATTATTTAAATAATACGACCTTCTTGTTATAACTAAAAAATAAATACCAAGTTTCTGATAAATATTATAATATTATTGTTGTAGCTTTTATCGATTTATAATTGTGGTTTGTTTTTTAAATGTATAGGACAATTTATGGAACAACAGTACCTATATAAATGATGAAATAAAATTATATGAAACTGAGTATTGACAAATAGATTATGCGAAAAACTGTATTTCTAAATAGTAAATATTCTAGAAAAATCATATTTAATAAAAATTAAAACTTAATAATGTTTTCAAGGATTTATCGAAATAGTTAAAACGTTATACTAAAGAAAAACAATACATATTTCATTTACACAATTTTCTTTTTTTTAAACAACTTCAAATATTAAGAATTATTAGATTTTTAAAACGCTCTTCTGAACAATTTTCATATTTTTTGTGTAGTCAATGCTGTTTTTTACGGACTGTGCAATATTATGTAAAATGTGTATAAATGTAAAATATTATGATTCAATTATAATTTGACGTGTAATGATAAAAATCATCGATTTCGATATGTCATCAAAAACACAAATGGAGACGAACGCGTGATCAAATCTGAAGTCAATTTCGTCACAACAGTACTCATTATAATATAACATACTTTCACTGATATAAATTTCACCGTATATTACAAAACGATGATTTATTAGCTACAACTATATATAAGTTTATTATTAGATTATATAAGTTCGGTGTTTAACAATTTTATTATTATTAATTGAATCAAAGTTTCACTGAATGTGATCGGAACTTTTCGGATTAGAAAACAGAGTATATATTATATATTATAAAACTATAATTATTTATATGACGACGGTAACGTCGTTTGTTTTTATTTTAATTTTAGTACATTGCGCATAACTTTGACACGTATATATTGTAATGGAATTTTTAATATATCTATCATTGCGCTCCACATTATTTAGTCTATTGAGGCTATTGTACACAACACGTCTGCCTCGACGAAGGTTTACTATAATTCATAATATATGTAGATACGTATTATTATGGCTATTGGTTGGCGTAAGAACATCAATAATTACTGTGTTGTCATGTATAATATTATCTAAACGATTGAATAAAACAGACTTCACGTGGGGTGTTATATAAACGATTGTCGTTCGACCTCCAATTCGAGTAGAAAAAAATTTAACAAATAATTAGGACGACAGCTTTAGTGCCACATGATGATAAGTATCGCGCGTTTTGTCGTCGAAGTCTCTTTGTACGCCAGTCAGTAATTGTGACCATAAACGCGCGAAAATAATTTTATATCGTGGACTGGTTGAAACACTATATTTTTTCTTTAAATTGCTTTTTATTTCATACATACCCACGCATTTATCAACAGCCACTTATCATTACGTCATCGTCGCCACTACATGCGTATATTTTATTATATTATCACTCGTTATACTTTTTTACAGAACAAATTCATTTTAATTTTTTCACACAAACGATATGACGTATATAAGTACATACAGCGTTTTATGTCCGCATGAACTACATGTTCACAATATTATAATTTAGAATAGTTTTATATTTCTCAGTTAAAAAAAATATATATACTTACTTTTGATATTTTGATTTTTACGTTTTACACTTTATCGTTAAAAAAATAAATATATTTATGTTATTATCAATATAATATAAAATTACCATTGTTGCGTTTGTATCCAAATATTAATTTCCGTATTAAGAGATATGTCGTTTACGAATTATTGAAATACCGTAGTTATTTATATTTCATAAAATTAACAAATCAAGTCTGCTGAAAAAAATTGTGTGTAGTTACAAAATAATTTAATTAAAATTAAATGTACATTATACTTGGCGTTGGTGGACGAACATGATAGTAAACGGTAAGGTCAATTCAAGAAATAAACAGCTATATTTTCAATTTTAGAAAGGAACACTGTTCATTGCGGTGAGTCAATAAAACCAATACGATATTTTGTCATTTAAGTACTAAAAATATCAGCTCGGTATTTATACAGAATGTATGATAATTATTGAACAGTAAACACTTAATATCTTAAAAATTCCTTAAGTTTTTTAAATTATTTTTTTTATATAATCTAAAATCATTATAAAACAATATTTTTAAAAAAAATTATATTTTCTACTATTTTGTATTATTTTTAAGTTTTTTGATTTTTTTAACTGACAAGATAGTTTTTATTTCATCATATTCTGCTTTGGAAAATGGAAATAGGATATTAAAAATATATTTTATCATGAATATTACACCTATTGCCGCTCTTATACCTATAATTACGCAACAAATGTATAGTATAGATTAAAATGCATAAAATTCATCATTTAAACGATGTATAATCATATCGATCGTAAATATTTAACAGTCCCTTGAACATTAAATAGTGATTATGCAGTACTTGGTTCATTGTACATATTTTTAACGAACAGTAAATTTTTTAATTTTTTTGCAATTTGACATTGATTTTTATTATTATAGATGTATATAATTGATAAAATCAATTTTACAGTCACATAGTTTTATTACAAAATAAGAAAAGTATTTAAAATGTTTATGCTTACATAGTAGTAAGTAAATATAGGATTGTTATAAATTTATCCCAAGTCCTAGCTAAGTTTACGTAAAAACTATGATTGTAATTATGATAAAATAATAATTTATCGTTAAACAATTAACATGATAAAATATATATTAATAATTAAATGTTCAAAAATAATGTTTAAGATTAAATATGACTACACACAATCATTGGATAAGATTAGCGAATCATGTGAAGACTAACAGCATTACGGCAAATAACAATGAGAAAAATCGGCTCAGTGGGTCAAAGCTGTTGGCTGACATGAGAAATGGTGAAAACCTTTCCAAATGGGAACCAGAACTCTGTATAAAAATGTTACAGTTACCTGGCGTCAATAATTATTTGGCGATCAAAAAATTGGTTAACGAAGCTGACAAGTAAGTACCTAATATTACGTTTTAAATAAGCATACTTATATTTATATTGTTAGTTTTAATTATATAGTTTTCTTTAAAATTGTATTCAAAAAATATTATGTAAGTATGTAAGTTACATAATACATTTTAATTTATTAAACAAATACGATTTTACTCCCTGAATAAATGGTTAAAACTTATTAGCTATACTTATTTAAATCATGACATCATTTTTATTTTATAATTATTATAATTTTATTTTCATAACTTTTAATTTTTTTTATGGAATTGAGTATACTTCACGGGGAACCAGCTAAAATAAGATTTGTTGATATTAGATTACGAAATATATTTTTTTCGACATTCAATGCAAGGATATTATCTTAAACAGTCAAAAATAGATTAAACACACTGAACGAGGACACGTTAGTAAATAATATAATGCCTTACAGTTTTTTATGATATTCAATCTGAATAAAGTCATTACTCATTAATATTATTATATTAGAAAGTACTTCCTTCATAGAATTCCTACATTTCATTCAATGCTTTTTTAAAGTAATACACGCATCTAATTAATATTTTAATTAAGGTTAAATTAGACCTTCGCATTGTCTCGTTTTTTAAACCATTACTTTTTTAAACGAGCGAAATGTTGCTATAACGAAAGTATACAAACATCTCTGCAATTCGTCAACTCATATTGCATATACAAAATTTTTTAAGGCAACTCAAATTTGTTATTGTCCAGGAAGACTGTGGTCTGTGATGAACTATTCAATTTTGTTTTTAATTCTGCGTTTAAAAGTCTAACAAAAACTGAGAATTTTCAATATTTTTGAGTATTGAAAAAAAAAAGGTGTTTACATCATTATCACTGCTTTGGATATATAATCTAGAATCATAATAGTATTTTAATAAATAGTAATATAATCAGTGGTGCAAATATGGGAGGGGGGGTGGGCTTGGGGGGACTTGGTCTCCCCAAAATTTGTAATAGTCCCCCCAAAAATGTTCAGCACTTTTAAAATTTTTTTTTTCATGAAAAATAGTAAATACTGATTTTTTTATAAAAAAATAAGTCTTGGTTTTTTTTTTTTTTTACTGGTTAGTAGCAAAACTGTGTTATAAAGTTACCATCATTTTATTATGTGTCAGTTACAAAAAATGCGGGACTTCAGTCCCCCCAAAACAATTAAGCTAGTTATGCCACTGAATATAATTTATATTTATTTTAAAACGTATTATTTGATATATAGTATAATAATTAATAACTATTTCTCACTCCATTTTTACTAAACAATTAAACTGTGAAATTGTTATCGGTTAGATTTTTAGGGAAAAATCTTACTCAATTTTAATAAATTTGTACTTATTTTTATTTATTTGATATATCAAATACTAGTTAATTGAAAAACTACCTATATCGGTATTCTAAAAATAATTCAACATTTCAATGCATCAATGGGAATTATGTTTGACTTTTAATATACTCGTAGCATGGGTGATGTGCATTCTGACAGTAATTTGCATTAAAAGAAATACCAAGAAAACTTTATATACCAAATACTGATACATCATATACTGATTAAAACTGGTAACACAAAATTAACAAATTTAGTAAATATATATATATATATATATATATATATATATATATATATATAATTTAATTATATTTGTACATTAGGATAGAACGAAAATACAATAATATCTGTGAAAATATTTTCACGAACAAAGGCGTATCTTCATTAATTATTATTTTTAATGATTTCAATTATTTAAACAATTATTTAAATAGGTAAAACTCTTCACTACGATTGAAATATAATCAACGTGCATTAAATTATACATTTTTAAAAGATAGTGATTGCCGTATTATTAAGTGATTATGTTTGATGTTATAGGTATATTAAAATTGTACGTTGGCATATCTACTTAGTTTAAGAATTGAATTATTATCAACAAAATAAACTATTAAAATAGAATTATATTCAATGCCCCATGGTGCATATACATAGTTACCTTCTTTAAAGCTAAATAGTTATACGAGTTGGACTTTCGATATTGTTACTTATTTATACTTACGCATTTTATTTTATTTTGTTGATTTGTTTATTACATTAATAAAATTGGCTATTTGAAATTGATGAATATGTCTAATACCTATATATAATTATGATTGTGGAGTTTAGAGTATATGAGAGCAGAGGAATTGATTCTAGGGATAAATACACACAATGGTAAGTTAAATTATTGATTTATTATAGGGTTAGGTGGTTATACGTATTTACTTTTAAAGAAATTCAAAATAAAATTTAGATAAAAAAAATCATATATATTTTGTATTCACCAAAAAAATTAAATTGGTGATTCATAATTTTAGAAATAGTGCAATTTAACTATTTAAAATATAATACAATGGTAAAGTATCATCACGCAATGAAAAATAAAAATACATTTCGAAATTAAACTTTTTAACCATAAGTTAAAATATTTAATAAATACAATATTCATACATTGTATGTTTTAAAATTCACTAAAATTAACTATAGTTTTGTTCGGTAACTTAAATAAGGAAATAACTAAAACATTATCTTTTGGTTTTTGACGATGTAATAAATTCAATACCTTGACAAAATTGGAGACTAATAATAATAGTTGTGGCCACTGATTTTCTAATACTAAATATCGTAATATAAGTAAAGTATTTTAGCAATAAACAAATTTAACTGGAATCTAAACCTGAAATTTGTGATCCCTCTATTTAATTTATTCATATGCAACTTTGTATAATATATAATTATAAAATATTTATAAATTGATTGCATTTATTTTATAGTTTTTAACCTGTAATAATTTTTATTTATTTAATATTTCCATAAATTAATTTTCATATATTATACTGTACTTCCGCGCTGTTGTAAGATTCATTTGGTTTAATATTAGGTATAAAATATGATAAGTTTTTTGAAAACTGGCGTCTGATTATCGCTTTAGACACTTAATAATATTGACTTGATAAAATAATTAGGGCTGCAAATGTTACAAATATTTGCATATTTTTTTTAGAACTTGAGATTATATCAGAGTCTAAATTGTATAGTTTAGATTGTATTAGAGTTTAAATTAGTTAAAAACTAATTTAATACTAATATGAGTTCAAAAATTAAAAATTCATTTTTTATTTGATTTATTGGATAATCTTTATGGTAAGAGGATTCTGATGCTCCAATTATAGTTATTGATAATTTAAAACGCAGAATGATTCAGCTACAGCTTTATTAGTAGATGTTTAATTAAAAATTGAAGCATCAGAATCTCTTACAGGCTTTATTAATTCACGATCGTATTGCGAAGTAGGTATGTACCTTTTACTAAAGTACTAAGAAAACTTGTGTAAAAAATGTTGAACTAATTTTAATATATTAATATATTATTATTATTTTTTTATTATTTAATCAAGCCGTGTTCTTTTATAATTCAAAACAATTTTTTTTTTTTTAAAAGAGGTTTGTGTGAGAATATAATTTCAGAATTATTATGATTTTGTGTTGCACCGGATTACATTTTTTAAATCTTTTTGTTGAAAAGTGTTGTAAACATACAAAATACAAATACATACTACGTATTAGAAAACAATCATTGATATTTGGTCCATTACATATTGTGATTGATTGGCTTAAATGTTGTGTAAGGCTTGTCGGAATTATGAGTAACATTATTTAAGCTGTTTATAGTGATGACCGATGAGTCATAAAAATGACTTAACCCATAACTTAAATTATTTATGTACGTATCGAGAGATTTAGTGGTAAGAGCTGACGATTACTGCAACATCGTCGTGAAAATATGTGTGTTTGCTCATCAGAGTAAATATTTATTGAGGATGGATGTTTTTTGTTTAAAATAAACAATTACTAGTTAATATAGTTATTCAAAACTCCATGGTTAGTAGCTATACCAAAAATATGTATAAACGAGTTAAACAAATATATTATATGTTTATTTAGGATAGTATCTTCCGATAAAAATGTATACATTTGATGATATGTATCGTAGTGCGTAAAATTAGGTAGGTACTTGAATAAACAAAGAAAATAGCGAAAGCAAATTTATCAAAATTGCAGAGGAATTTAAAAAAAAAAACTGTATAAATAATTCATCATTCTACACTATAGATTGTAGAAAAAAGAAGAATTTAGTATAGTAAACCCTCGATTATCCAATTCTGTTATACGAACCATCTATATCAGAGGTTCTCAAACTGTGGTATGCGTACCATTAGTGGTACGCGAAAGACTACATGATGGTACGCGGAACTGTGGAAGGCCGCATGGTGGTAGGATTTTTAATCATCAGTGGTACGCGACTGATTGATAATATACTTAAGTGGTACGCGAAATAAAAAGTTTGAGAACCGCTGATCTATATTATCCAAACGTCAATTATACGCATTCGAACATATTATACCGCGGTATGCCAATTTTATTATTTTATCAATTTTGTCACAGTTTATTATTAATACATTCCATACATATATATTGTATACAAATATTGAAATATAATGAGAAAATTAATAAATTTGTTAAAAAAATAAATAATATAATATATATTATTATATATACATAGTAATACAATTGTAACCTATAATAATTTTTTATTCATGATTATTTAATATGAGATAATAATAAATATATAATACAATACATAATAATTAATATAAAATTACATATACAATTTTTAAAAAGTTCCAGTGTCCGAACTTTCACTTATCCGATCTAGATACGATCTCAATTAGTTTGGATAATCTAAGTTCTATTGTAGTTAAAATTTAAAGTTTAATTTTATAATTTTTAAGTTTATTTACTTTTTTACAAGTAGATAAAACTTTTTTATATTTTGAATGATCAATTTCTTAGAATAATTAATGTGTCAAGTTATCGAACACGACTTTAATAATTAATTCAATATAATATTATGTCTGTGAGAGATTCTCATTTTCTAAAAAGTATCATAAA